TTCCACCTGGGATGCTGCTTACGCGGGGCAAGACGCTGCCCAGTGGCTGCGCGACGACAGCAATTCCAATCTTTCCGAGTCACTTGTCCTCCAGCCGGCTGTGTGCATGCACCCAGACCGGGCAGGGCACTGGGTGCGTTGTACTACAGAATTGCACCAGCTCGCAGAAAAATAATGAGGTCAACACTGCTGCTTTAGTGTTGCTGTGGCTTCAGCCGGTTCAAACTTTCCACAAAAAACTGGCTGTCGGCATCCCGTCCTCCGATGGCCTAAGCAGATGCCTAAACTGTGGGTGTGCAGCAAAAAACACGCTGACTAATTAGCCTGCAGCTTAATATGGGATTACCCGGATCAGTTACAAAATGTCAATTCAATATTGTTGACAAGATATTTCCACTAAACAAGGCTGGTTTTCTTTCCGAGGCGGTCCTATTCTTCAAGTACTCTGCCAGAAGACCTCCATAGAAGTACCAACGCCCAGACTCTTCTGGTGACCCTTTTGAGATTGTTATTTCTCATAAATGTTCGATTGTCACTTGTAATTTGTTTCAGTGTTTCCGCTCAGATTATTTTTGAGAGAGGTATGGCCTCATTTGTGGTACTAACCACAATAAAACATTGCACTTTACCCTGTTCGCCGATTATTTTTTTCAGCCTTGCTTAAAAAACTTGTTGATTTTTAAACTATCGTCCAAATGCTCTCTTCAGCTGCCGGTGGTACTTGTTTATTGTTAGCTGACACAGCGACACTACTAGGGTCAAGCAATTGGTTAATCAGATTCTGGATGACGTTGCCCGTTCCCTACATTCTGAATTAATGGCTGCAAAGCCTTCCCGTACTATGCGCAGAGACTACCGACATACAGTACAGCGGAGAAGCCGTACAAATTGTCGAAGTTCGCAAACCGGCATTAATGCATGTAGGAAAACTTCGAAATAATAATAAACAACATTAAGCAAATTTGTCACTTAAAAGGAGTGTTAAAAGTAATAATTATGTGTTAAGAAAAATAAAATTTTCTCAGACGTAAAATAGCTATAAATTCTAACAATAACTTTCAATATTTTCTTAAGTTGAATATATAACCTTGCCAATTTCTTTCTATCAAAATATTTTCCTTAGTTAAGATATTTTAACCACACTGCCGCTATTTAATTACAAATACAGTAGGTTCACTAACGCATGAAATCCAAGGATTTTTACAAGCAACTCCTTGTTACCGAAGCTGCGGCCCCAAAAGTCTTACAACAATAATCTAATGGTCTTTCTCCACAATAGGGCATGTTGTGATTTATGAAAGAATATAACGTTTAATAGAGATACAAGCTTTGTTAGCAAAGTGGAAAAGGCCAAAAAAGTGGAAATCGGGCGAACTAGGTTAACTTAAGTTCTACTTGTAGAGTATGCCTGTTTATACAAAACCACCGAGTGAATATAGCAGGAAAAGTAAAATTACGTTGGAAAATAATCATTTGTAAAGTTTTCGTATATATGTGCTTCCATATTATGTGGAATGGAATCTATGTATGTTGCCGAACAGCCCAAATTTCGAGTATATATTCCAATACGTTTTCACGA